AACAATTTATTTATTTATCAAAATACCAAAATACAAATATCTTGTGATATTATTATATGATATATCTGTAAAATATATTTGATTCATGTATTTTTGTATTATATTTCCACAAGTGTGAAAAATCTTTTTTTGAGGAAAATCAATGCTTTTCTGATTGTCTGATTTTTTTTTTGTTTTTAATTTAGCGGATTGGAATATATTCAGGGAGTGTGCGCAGCGGGGAAGCGGCGAAGAGGTAAACGCCACTGGCGCGCCAGTTCAAAAGTTAGCAACAGAAGTGGTCTGTCGGAGGCCCAAGCCTTCGCCGTCACTCGTGTGGCCATGCCTTCTCACTGTGCCTCGTACCATCTTACGAGCCACTCTTATCCAACACCGTCATTATTTCACCTGAACCCATCAGGTATTACACTCAAAACTCCCGACAACTATTTCCACCTTCACCTCAATCCTCCACCACCCCCTCACACCCTCTCCCCAATTTTTTATCAATTTTTATCAATTTACATTTGGAAGGAGATACAACACCTGGATATCACCGCGTCAATAATCTCTGGAGATCTTCATCATTTTTATACAACAATTTGAGGTGACCGCAACATTTTTTTTGAATTCTCAGATTTTTCGCGGTCGAGGGATTCCAGTTTTTGGGATTTCCCTTCAGTTGGAAAAGTGACAGTGATTGGGAAATTCGGGGTGATATGGAGACGTTGGAAAATTCGGGATTTGTACCTGTGGGGTTGACCAGTGGTTGTGAATTTTTTAATCAGTGATGAGACCTCTGGAGTTGACGTGAAATTATGGGATAAGGAGGGAGATTATTCGTATGGGATTGTGATATCGGAATGACTATTGTGATGTGACAGGTTTTGATCGGTCTTTTTCCGGTGGAGTTACTTCGAGTGAAATATAATCCGCGGACTTTTCTCGCAGGACGCCGAAAGGGAACGCTAATTTGGTGAGTCATTCTTTCATAATTATTTTATTTCTCCGATTTTTTTTTACAGTCACAGTAATTTGAGAGAAGAGATTAGTATTTAATAGTAATTGTATTTAAAGGAAAAATCGGTCTTTCGTTTTATTCCGATAATTTTCAGGGATTTGGAATTTTTTTTCCAAAATAACTTCGGAATTTCAGGAAAAATCGTGATTGCGTCCGTAATTTTTATGGAATATTCAATAAAAATTACTTGTTTCTTCCGTAATCGCGGAGGGACTTGTGGGGCATTTTACGGAAAAAGTACGGAATTTTTTAAATTTTCTAGGAAAAATAGCGATACGAGTTAAATTTCGGGAATCCCTTCCGTTATCAGTGAGTGAATCTAAAATTCCGTAATTCCCCTCTCATTATTATAAATTTCTCCCTGCACTGATTAAAAGATGAATTCTGAGAAATTCACTCCGCACAATTAAATTCACCAGAGAAATTCTGAGCGATTATTTCTCTCAATTTTATTACGGAGAGTGTAATTTTCCTGAAATGCTGTCTCTGTTACTCCAGCGTTGTTTTTAACCGATGATTTCCATATCAAAACTGCTATTGGTCGGGTTTGAACCGAAGGCTGGCCTACGATCGGTTGGAGAACGTATTACCGAGTGAATGTACTAGATGATTGACCAATCCGTGAGCAAACACCACTCGTTTATTCATATTTTCCATTTTTCGATCAGGCGAAACAGAGATTAATGGGTTACGATGGAAAATAAAAAAAGAAATAAAAAAAGAAATAAAAAAGAAAAATAACAGCCAATCGATTCGTCCGGACATCTAGTTACCCAGATGACAAATCGTTATAATTGTTTTCAATGCATGAATTAAACATCCGTTTATTCGTCGTAAAAACAATCGATTTTTCACGCGTAAAATCATCGCGAAAAATTGAAAAGCGATCGAACACTAGTTTCCAATCGATGTGGATATTAATTCCGGGTTTAATGGATATGGGGTATATTTCACGTGTGGTCACTGATAAAATGAATTCAGTATCCAACACGTGACAGTGAATAAATCAATTACACGTTGTTTGACAAATGCTAATGTTTTAACACGTCGCAACTCACGGCTACACGGGTAAATCGAATGATTTTGCAATGGCCTGTCCTTAATCAATAATTAATATACAAAAAACCATCGAAAACAACTCGATAACTCTAAAAAAACATGGGCCATTCTGCCCCAGGCTCTTCTGAAATTGAGAACTTCTCACGCTTTTCATTTTAAATATCACTGAAAAATTTTAAATACCATTCGCCTGACGAAATATATCATTATTCTTCCATTTATCGATTGTAAATATTAAGCAATTGTCTCCTCTTTATTTTAATTCATTTTATATATTAATGTTCACCGAGGAAATCGGACTGGACATTTTTTCAAATTTACGCGAGACGCAATGACGAAATAAAAAATTGAAAAATTCATTTCCCTTGGAAAATTGTGGGGTAAAAATTTCCAGTCATTTCTCCAGAAATAGCCGATGCCCTGGAGTTAGATGGGAACAAAAAAATGACACTGATCTCTGCTTAATTTCATTTGGCAATTCCAACGAAATGAGGAACGAAAATACCCGTGAATTAAACTAACCATGTAACCCATAAATTGGATGGACGCAATGTTTACACAAGCGGCGATATCGGCTATCGAATCTGAGCCCGTGAAATAAACCTCACAATTTTCATTTATACTTTTTCATTTTTTTATTCAGTGAATTGGCGTTTTAAATTGTGGTTAAAACCGTGTGTTAACGGGGCGTTACCGAGTTGTATAGAAGACGACGATTTACGATCTCACCCCCTTCACTTCCAGCATAATCTCACCATCTCGATTTATTATTTTCCTTCCATTTTCTATCGTTTTAAAATATCACTAAAACATATTCACATACATCCCTGTCGAGACACGCAAATAGCCGGGAGAAAATCCGTTAAAAAAAATTTATGCAAATAATTTTTTAGAAATATTATAGAAAATATATACTCCAGGAAATCGGTTCGTGTGACTCAACATGATCTGTTGAAGATCAATTAATCAATAAATACTAGAGGTTGAGAATAATTTAATTTATTATAATAACCTGCGTGATATATTTTATTTAAATAAAATTTGTTAAATAAAACGTGTCTGTGGAAAATTCAGTAACGAATCGGTGGAGTGTAAGAGATCGAATATCTCCGAATCCAAGATAGATACCGAAATTTTCATTAGAATCTCACTCTTAGCTCTTGTTCCCCTCTACAAAAAAGGTGGAGAGATAATTTTCGCTATCTGTCTTCGATTCCGAGATAATCCGCGCACAAAATGAGAGTCAAAAATTGGCATGCAGTTTTCATTTGGAAACATCGACTTTAGGAATTTGAATTAAAATTCTCGTTGTAATTCGTGAAATTCTTTTTTTCTGTCATTCTCACTTCCTCCAGTGGTGTCTGGCAAAGATAGCCTTCGCTCCAGGATTTCCACAATTTTTTTTTTTTCTCCAACCAAAAGCCCTGAACTGTGAATGACATTAACCAATGCCCTGGCATCACTGGAATGGTAAAGACAGTTTAGATGAACAAGTATTTCCGCGTCATGTTTATATACACGGGTTATTGAACACGTAGCAGACAACCTTTAGTGCCGCCCTTCCTCCCGAGTGTTTTATTTCCACAATCAACTTTGACTCAATGTGAAATGCCCCTCATTCAACTACATCTGTTTAGACCTCGACTTCCGTTTTTTTCCATCGAAACGCCATTACTCTACCCCCCGAGTCAATCTAAATGGATCAAAATTACAAATTCCGTACACCAAATTATGAGAACGTTTCATTTTTGTCGCGAAATCCCCAAATTCTTGAAATTTAAACGAAGCGCGCGGAGTCAATTTTTTTTTTTTGTAATTTCTTCCGGAAATTGGAGTAACAATTGTAGAGTACGGAAGGAAATTTTCGATTACGATTTTTTCAGCGATTTTTTAGGGATTTTTTATTGAATTTTGGGTATAAGCTTATGAATGGCCGAAAAGGAAATTGAATATGTAAATTATGAGACGGAAATATTAATTAACGAGTTCGAAATCGTAATTTACCGTTAGCTCTCGCAATTTATGTTTTCAACTCCTTAATTAATTCCTTGAATCCTGCGAAATAACGATTTTAAAATCGTAATGAACATTTTATTTTGATGAGCGCAGTTTCTGGAAAATCTCACGTACCGCCGGAACAAACTGTCCACCATTTTTCGTATTTCCTCGGAAATTTCCCGGATTCCTAAAAATTTATCAAAACTTTCACAGAGTCATTAGAATTTTTGATTCTATCAATTTTAATTCGATAAATAAAACTTTGAGTTTTCATAATTTTCCCAATTTTTTAATGCCATATCGATGTAAAAATTCCAAATTACCAGAATATTAAAAAAATCAAATAATCCCAATAATAATAATACCAAATAACTAATTTGTCAATAAAGGATTCTTAAAACCTGAGTTTTTTCCTTGAAATGTCAATTATTATTGTAATTTTCCAAAAGCGCAATGGCGCCATTAAAAAATGAGAATACAAATTCCGTGAATGTCTCGAAATAAAAAAATGAAGACTGACCATCGCCCGAGGACGAGATAATGCAGTTTGAATATTCTGGGATTATTATTATAGCCGGCAATAATTTTATGACGGAAATGGCAATAGCATGTGTCTCCCGTTGGACGAGTGGTAGTAGAGAATTTTTCCCCGGTGAAAACCTGAAAATCGGTAAAATTAGTGGCATAGAATTTCCATATTTTCCATAACAGGTGATATGAGAATGCCTCGACGAAGAGAACGTGAATATAAATACGAAATAACAGTGAAAATGTGAACGATCGAGACGACCGGCTATGTATATCACCCCGGAGCTAAATAATCCGAGTTCTTCAACTTTTATATTTTTTATATTTTTCCCCTCAAGTTTTGTTCCCATCCTTGTTTGATGGACAGCGCACCTGCCCAATTTGTTCGCAATTCTCTTTTTTTGCTATTCCCTGACCCGGAGAAGGTACTAATCACGTTGATATGTTCCACAAATCACGCGGCAGAAATTCACGCCAAAAGTCACACCGCGAGTAATTCTTTACGGCTGTCATTTAATCCGCTAAAAATATTTAGAGGATTATTATGACGAAGTCAAAGCGATTCCCTGCCGATTTTTAACGTGCTACTGTCAATTAACAACCATCATTATTTTTTATGCACCAATTTTGCACACAGGCCTCTCATGGCAAATAATTCTGTTTTATCGCTGACGAGAAATTACTTGAGGTGTGACAGGCGAGAATAATTATTCAATTTGATTAAACAATCGTTTAATATTAATTACATTCGATATGAAATATTATCGAATTATATTTCAATTGTTCTTGATAATTATTTAACAAAAAAAAAAGTTAATTCCAGACAATTTTTATAGAAATTGAAAAATGAATAGATAAATAAATAAATAATATATATATATAATAATATGTATTATATTATTATATTACATGTTTACCTATCCATGTAATTGAGTAAATTAATCAACAACAGTGAATTAAATAATTAATTCCCAGTATAAATAATATTATATGGAATTTCTTACATACGAAAATATTTCTCACATTTTTATGTAGTCAAGTAAATAATTTATTGGCAAAAAATGGAATTCCCAGTTGCTGTGGAATGTCATCGTCATTCTGTGCGATTGTTCCCGGTATTCGATTAGTTTCTCAATAGGAAATAGTATGAATGAATCTCGGGAGAAGGAAAGGTACCAATAAATTACCCACCAAAGCGTGACAACCTCTGGAGACATTTTTTTTTTCTCGTTTGGAGGAACGTGAAAAGCCCTAACTTGCCCGGATTTTGGTTGACCCGAGGATTACAGATAAAAGAACTCGCCTCGTGACATAATTGTACGATTCTAGGTATTATCCGATTTGGTATCTCAACGGAAGATACAGCGGAACTTTCTTTCAGAAATCTATACGATTCCAAGAAGTGCCGGTATTTTTTTCACTCAAAATTTTGGGTTTGGAATTTATCCGAGGGGTCACATGTGCTTTCATCTAGAAACAATCATCTTCATTTATTTATTTCTTTTATTTTTATTTATTTATTTTATTTTATTTCATTTTTATTTATTTATTTTATTTTTATTCATTTATTTTATTTTATTTTTATTTATCTTGATTACCCGTCTAATTACCACTGTCAATTATTTATAGTAATATTATCGATAAAATTTTCCTCCTAAAATTACTGCAGTCAAAATGACCACTTAAAATTTTTTTTTCATCACGATATGCTGAAAAGTGACTTTACCGCACTTGTTACGGAATATACTACTTTATCGTTTATTTATTACACTAGAAAAAGGAACAAACAATAACGATGATGATTACTATCATTATCGTTGTTGTTAAAATTGTTTGGTGGAATTGTTAAATAATTACTAGAAAATGAAAGAATGAAAAAAAACTATTTTTCATCAAAGCGGGAATAATTCATTCACCTAATCATAATTACAACGGAAAATTGTCTCTCGTGTCGTTATATTGTTGATTTGTGGAAATTTAATTTGAGAATTGATAAAAAAATTACGTTTATTGTTGTTATGTAACAACTCAAATTGGATAATCACTGCAGAAGACAGTTCATCCGGTAATAACTGAGATTAGACTGCGAGGAGAAATTATCGACTACTATTTCATCTTGTTATCAATTGAATTAATGCGAGCGTTCAATTAAGTCCTCGCGAGGGGTGACTTTTTCCATTTTCATTCACCGATTTTTGCTAATGGCGTCGGTATTTATTTTTAGTTCCTTTTGGCTTGGTTATTTCTGTTTATTTATGTTTGAAATGATGAGAGAAGTTCTACACGAGCATTCAATATTCGATATTTATTCATTCATGCTAATGTCCCTCTTTTACATTCAAAAACTTCTCTTTCTTTCAGTGGAAAATTTACATTACAATTGAAATATTTATAATACATAGTTAAAAAACAATTGATTTTTATTGTATATTTACACTGTATTAAATTTGAGGAAAACAATCGGCGAAAGTTCTTGTCTAGGGAAATTTTCCACAATGTGATAATTGAATTAATCACCTTTAATTTATTATAATTAACAACCTCTGTGTTTTTAAATAATTTTCTAATGGTAAATATCAGGTTTTGATATTTTCAATAAGGAATATTCTGGGGTCAAGAAAATCCTGACCTCAGATTTTTATTTCTTAGAATAATGCGTGATTAATTTTTATAATTACGATAATTAGGATTGGATTTTCTCGTGATTTTTTTAGACCTCGGGTCCAGACGAGATCAATGAATATGTTGTCACTTTTATACTGTAAAGACAGTCGTCAAACAGCCAATTAGGATAATTATCGCATGATGGATGGAAATATACCTCTCGGTAACTTTGGACAATTCATTATCCCCTTTTCTCGGGTTTTCCTCCTTTTGAAGGTTGAAGGATTTTGTGTTTTCCACGGAATCTGGCCATTTGGCCGGTGGAAAACAAATATTTGAGGCATTCCGGTTCTGGGACCGTTTCACTCGGACATTAATGTCCAAAAATACGCCAGGATATGATGCATTCAACGGTTTTTGCACTAAAACACTCGACAAAAAAAGAATTCGCGGATTTTCAGTTAATCGCGGGAAAATTTTTTTTTTGATGGAAAAATAATTTTTCAATCGTTTTAAGAATTATTTGGTTAATTCTTAAATAATAATTGTAAAACCATTTGAATTATTGGGTATTACAAATAGGATTGTGGAATTAATAATTAATAATAATTATTCTAATTTATATTTTTTGATTATTATGCAATGATTTTCATCATGAGAAAAACAATTAACTCCAATGAAAAACGGTTTAAACAAAAATTTGTTTAAAAACAAGTTTTCATTGTTGCTCGGATTAATTTATAATTTCCAAATAATCATAATTATTCAAATGATAATTATAAATTAATTCAATATGTTTCCATGAAAATATTAAAAAATCTCGAAATATCGGTTTTATTTATTTATAAATTCTTAATCGATTTCGCGTAATTCGGGTGCAATTATAAATAATTGCGAGTAATAAATAATTTTTTTTAGATAACAAAAAGCGCCGGAAGAAATCGAAAAGCCAGTAAGAATTGAAATGGCTTGGGCAATCGATAAATAAAATAAAAATGGAGAATAAATTTTCTCTTGGCGTCTCAATATGAAATCTGGTACCAGCAAATTGCGGATATTTTGTCTACAGGCAATGGCGGCATAAATCAGCTCAGGTTGCACATGGAGGGTTGAGTTTAAACTTCCGAGTTTTTTACTCCCACGTTTTGCCCGCGATATGCACTTTATTTCGAGACTATCGGCGAAAAATCAACAAAAAACTATCGATTTTTATCGATCAACTTCCGATAATGGAAATTACCCATGCAATTGTCGTAAACTACACTATAATTATTAATAAATATTTCACTCAACTTGAAATCCTGCAAAAATTCATTACGTGATTCGACAGAAACGATTATTTAATCTAGAATGGATTAAACAATTATTGAATGAAGAACTCAGAGTAATAATTATAAATTTTTGAATTGTTCATGGGAATTATTATGAAAATAAATGCCACAAAAAAGCTTGAACTATCATAAACAATTTTCCAACATTTAAAATTGAAATATTCTACAATTTCTTTCTACTAATGCAATAAACAATTGCAATTACCACGAAGTAATTACGAATTGATAATCGATTTGGTCTTATAATTGGGCATGAGTTTTTCCATTGATTTGTGTTAATTAAAAAATATGAATATTTTAATTCAATCGAATCGATTGGAATTCCAATGCAATTTTTAATTTGTTTGGATTAATTTTGTTTCTAACATATTGTAATTAATCTGAAATGGGCATCTGACGTGGAGTGTCATTCCGGTCCCTCGGGATTGGTTGTGGAGTTTTTTTAAATTCTCAAGGGCTCCTCCTGAAGACCCTGTCGTATCTTTCATGCTAGTCATCCGTGTAATACGGTAAACCGATGCAGCAGATTCCATACAACCGTGAAATACGCCGATAGTCTTGTACAAACAACTAATTATCCTCTCAACAATTTTTATACACCCACGACAAATCGATAAAAACCCGCGACTAATTTTCCCCCTGGAAATTCCCCTGAAAATTTCCCTGAAAATTCCCCTGAAAATTCCTCTGAAAATTCCCCTGAAAATTTCCCTGAAAATTCCTCCCAAATCCCTCCAATCAATCTATAATTAATATATACTCAATATATAATCAATAAATAATGAGCAATAATGAATTCCTCAAATTAGAATGATCATCTAACTTATTAACTTATTTTATAATTAATTAAAAAAAAATAACGAACCCGACTAAATAATAAATTCCAACCCATAAACTTAAAAAAAAATCCCCATTTTTTCTTCTCAATTCTCGCATTGCGCAATATATTTTGCAAAATAATAATTCATTAAGGATTCTAAATTATAAATATCAGCTACACGTACACATTGCGTCGTTTACATTTACGGTATTTTCATCCATGAATCATGTTTTTTATTACTGATTCCGACAGAAATAATCTCGTCATTGAATTTTTCTTTTTATCCAATTCCGTAATTTGCGGTAATGCCGATATCGGAGTTGTAATGAGGTATTGCGACAAAATTGCGTAAGAATATGGTTCATCGGTGGAGGGATAATGAAGTGTTTATCATTGTTGTTACAATGTTTTCAATTGAAAGGTACAAGGAGAAATTTGCCTGGTCATTCGAATTAATCCGGGGTGCGCACTCGACGGTGAATGCCGGACAGTTCAAATAAGAGACCGAATCAACAGTGTAATCTCTTGAAGGGATAATTAAATGAATGGGGATGAATAATTTATGAGCATCACGGGATTACTCGAATTCCGACCCTGATGAGATCCCATGCGAAAATATTTCCAAATACATAACTGCAATCTTTCCCTACATTAAATTCCCGAATTCCTCGAATATTCATTTTCTAAATATCCATTTATCTCGAGAATTATCGATTGGAGGTTGAAACCTTAAAGGACTTTTTTGTAGCCCATTGAATTCTAAATGAAAAAGGTCTTATGATAATTTCTCCTAAAATCAATACATTCTGGGTTAATCGATATTTAGAAACACTGGAAAACGGGGAAAATGAAATACATAATTTTGATTTCACATTTCCATTAACCACCGATTTATCTTGAAAACCATCGATCTACGGTAAAAACGTTGAGGAACTTTTTTCTAGCCAATTAAATTCTGAATAAAAAAGATTCTCTGATATTTTTCTCAAAAGTCAATAGTTTGCCAATTAATGAACATTTAATGAATGCTTGAGTACACAGGCCGTCTAGACCCCCGACGTTCGTCGACTCAATATACGCGGTAACAATTTTTAATATAAAATTCATTGTTTAAACAACAAAGAGACACCGGAATGTAATTTGAGATCTAATCAATCGGTGAAATTACTGTGATAATTTCAACGAGAAGTTGCGGAATTACTGACGAACTAATGAAATAGCAATCGTCAGTTCCAAAAGCGAGAGCGTATCAATTTCCCTGACAATTTAGTCAATCATGCGCGATTTCATGTGCCTCAGGTTTCCCCATCTATTTAAGAAGGAGCAGATTGGAATGTTGATAATAATTGAGTATGCAAATCGCCAGTTGACCAGTTATTTAATGGCGCCAGTTACGACTTGCAGTTTTACTCACTGAATTTTCGTTACTCCCAGTGTTGTTTTTCCCTTTCATTATTAATATGGCTTTTCATTTTTTTATTTTCCTTTCACCTCAAATCAAATGCCGATGGCGTGTTCAACACCCAGTAGCATATTTATCATGGCACCGACAAGCCAAAGATATTTCCCCTTCCCCAAAGAGAGAAATATCCACTAAAAATTACGGAAGCCGCTCCTGAAATTAACTATTAAATTTTTTTAAACAAGAGATCTCCATAAAAAATTAAAAATCCTTGAATAAAATTTCAATTTTCCTCAATTTTTCCCTCGATTTCCCTTCACCTTTACTGAATATTCACTGATAAAACCAATTCTGTGAGAAAAATAATAAAAATTAATCAACTCAGTCCATTACAACGAATAATATTAAATAAATAATATCACTAATTAAATAAATTACTAGATTTAAATTTTTTAATGGAAAAGGTAATGGAAAAAAGAAAATGACTGACAAGATTTCCTGATGAAAAATCAATTGACATAAATGAATTACGAAAAAACAATATTTTTCTGAGTGACGCAATGATTTTATAGTGAATTAGTAAATATTGAATGGAGTGAATAGTGAATTTTTTAGTACTCATCGTTGAAATATGGCAATAATAAGCTATGAATAATCAGCCACCTACGACATTTTCACGGTTGTCAAAACGATCTCTGGTTTATTTCTCTTTCCTCATCATCCAACACAGAACGTTACGAATTTCTCAACACCGAGACGAATACAAGAATCACGCATAAGCCTCCTAACCGGGTGTTTCAAATTATTCCTCGGCTTTTTATTTTTCATTTTTTTACAACTCTCCATTCTTTGTACCCGTCTCCAATGATGTATGCACTTTAGCGAGTTGTTATCGATAACGGAAAACATGAAACTGCCAGTTATCAGTATTGACTCCTTACGCTATTCTTATTTCATTTCTCGTATCGCTCGCTTATCCGTTTTATCCATTATATCCGTTCATTGTACGGTGTTAAAAAAATTTGTAAATTTAAGATACTACACCTGCTGTCAGAGAAAGATTTATTTCAATGGTGTGAACCTCTGTTTATTTATTTAATTTTTTTTTATTGAAATAGAAATTTTTTAGTCGCTTGGTTGATTTAATGTTTCGATGGATTAATCATTGAATTATCATTAACAATTTGGTAATAATACATTTATTAATAAATATAGAGTTAACAGATAAATTATTTATTTTATTATATTATAGTAATTGTTACAGTGGAATTTCAAAGAATGAATGCAGTTTATTTAAACAATTATTGGTATTATGCATTTTCTTGAATTTGTCAACAATTTTTTTTATTGAATTGGAATGCAGGGTTTAGATAAATTTTTGTCGTTTGTATTAAATATTATCTACGTCGGCTGATAATTTATTGAAATATGTGATGTATGGAGAAAGGGAGGATAAATTGTCCTGCGACACGATTTTTTTTTTAAATCATGGAGAATGCAGGAGAACCGCTGCAATCTTCATTTTTCTTTATCTTTCTTAACTTTTCCTATAACCTTGAAGCATTCCGCGATAAACGGGAAAGTTCAGGAAAGTTCAGGATCTCTAGAGGACATTTTTCCAGTTTTTATCGTGATTTACGACTGCCTAAAATACTTTCGACGCCACTTTGAAAAATTCAATTTCAAACTTTTTTTTTTCAACGTTTAAAGGAAATTAGTCGTTTCCTTTATTTTTATCACCTCCACAGAATTACACCTTCCAAAAATTACTAGTATAACAGTAATTAAGTAATTAATCAATAGCAAAAAAATTTGGAATTATTCTAAGAATTCCATTCCTTTTTTGCGATAATCTTAAATGAATGATAAAATAATTATTATTATAATTATTATTATTATTATTGCAGGTCCTTTAATTTTATTCTTTCCATTAAATCACCGATTATTCTAAATCTATTAACTTATTGATTAAATAGATTAAAAATAATAATAATAATAATAATAATAATTATTATTATTATTATTATTATTATTATTATTATTATTATTATTATTATTATTATTATTGCAGGTCGTTTAATTTTATTCTTTCCATTAAATTATCGATTATTCTAAATCTTTTAACTTATTGATTAAATAGAATAGTATTTTAGAGAATTTCTAATGAGTTTTCGAAAAGAAAAGGGAAATTTTGAGAGAAAGCGGATTTTTTAATTTCAATTTTCTTCGTGGGCAAGTGGTAGAAATGGGAAGGTCTCGCCTAGTTTTGATCGCATAAACTGTCACCTACACTTATAATGCCATTAGTATCATTGAGGCTGTGAAAACTGACGTGCGGTTGTGTCAGAGGGACGATAAAAAATTCATCTTCCCCTGTACTAATGCAGTCCACTTTCACACCTTGTCAGGACAACCGTGAAATTTATAAAATTACCGTGCGTCTTCATGCATATGAGGGCATGTAGACAGACACATTGGCTGTGCCACGGGTAATCAACGGAATCCGAGTACATGGTGAGAAATATTTAACAACATTTATCCTGACGTTTTGTAATGTCACTTTCTTGAAATTCCGGTCATGAAGTATCGGAATTTTCAATTACGTCAGTTGTAATTTAATTTCAATTGAAATTCATCTGTACTCGTTAGCCTGGGAAATTCCGGAAAATGGGGATTTTCATGGTGAAGCATCTTTTTTTAATGACATTCAATAAAAATTAATTATTATCAATAATATGAGAATTTCCGAGAAATTCATTGATTCCTCAGAAATTTAATATTAACCCATTGTTATTAATTAAAATTTTTTTACTCAAAACTTCGAGTTCAAATAATTTTTTAAACACTAGACTACCTTTTTGGGCATTGAACATTTTTGAGTGAGAAAAAAAATGACTGGAAGTGAGTTAAAAGCGCTTTTCCGCACGTGTCCCCTTGTCTGGCGCTCCCCAAATATTTACCAAGTTTTTCCGGTAATTTAAATTTGATTTTTGAGTCGGCGTGTGTAACGGAGGCTAGACCCACCATTTCATCTATAGAAATAGTTGAAAGTAGGCGGGTAGTTATAGTTAGTGAGAGGCGTACCTCGAACATAAGAGCCAATCCATGATTTCATTGAAATGATCAAACCACCAGAAAGATCGGATAGGTCGAGTTTCTCACCAGAGAGTGGGTCAAATCCCTAGACCTCGATGTAAAAAAAAAAAAAAAAATTAAAGAAATAATCCCACCCAAGGTGTCCACACCACTCGCCCCCTCTCACTTTCCATTTCATAAATAATTAACAATCCAACCGGTAAATGATATCCGCACATCATCTTACGTGCCGACAAATGAACTTTAATTTTTTATTTGATAAAAATAATAATTCATTAATGATGGTGGTATCCTTGGTGCAGAGTGGAATCATGCCGCCGAGTCCGACGTACCGAATTAGGAAACTGTATGCAGGGTCAGGAGGATCTGTACAGCTACTCAAGAAGAAGAAAACAGGATTAACAAGATCATAAATTCAGTCATTTTGACACCAAAATTGGCGCTGATCCGGCCAGGTGACTAGGATCTACGGCCCTATTGCTGGCCTGGCCAGCTACTATGCAAATTGCAGCTCTTCGTATTGTTATTGCGGTAAGTAATCCACAGTCATACTGTATAATTAAAAAAAATTACTTTTAATGATTGATCATTTGAAATCCGTTGATATCTGAGATAAAAATTCTTCCTTACACCCATGATGTACAACAAAACAAATAATTAACATGTATAATTGAAAAAAAATTACTTCTAATGATTGATCATTTGAAATCCGTTGATATCTGAGATAAAAATTCTTCCTTACGCCCATGATGTACAACAAAACAAATAATTAACAATAATTAACAATTAGCAGCCACTGCAATGCCGGAAATAAACATTTTCACTGACTTACTGCTCCCGATTTATTATACGACTCAAATGATGATAAATAATAAATAATTTTAATTTTCGGGAGATTCCCCGGGGATTCCGATCGGGAGATTTTTTTCAGGGGATTTTTCCCGGGGAATATTGTCCAGGACATTTTTCCCCGGGTGAATAACTCTGGACACGAATAACTCGGTGGATTTATTGTGGGAGGAATCTCAGAGTCAATAAAAATAATTATTCCGTTAAAATAAGGCGATAAAATTAGCAACGAACTTGAACATTTAGGGAATAATGATAAAAAAATAATGATGGTTTAATAGACATTTGATTTGTTGGGAGTAAATAAATAAATCCTGAAAGACTGATAAAATATTGACGAATGGTGGAGAAGGCCTCCGGAAGTGATCGGTTATGAACAACCTGGCACAACGTCAACCACGTTATATCGTTAAAAAGATCTCCCCGGCATCGGCATCGGCATACCATCGTTATCTACATAATATCACGTGTCGACGTGTCTGTGCACAACTCCAGAGGAATCCCGATACAACATACCTCTTCCTCGGGCTACTGACGATATTGATAAATGATAATTATCGAGCAACTGCCGGCAAGGCCCACTATACTTGTCCACGCTCCAACAATTTGCGATATGTATTAAAAGGAGGCGATTGAGGTGAAGTGGGGGAATTATAATTTAATAATAGCACCTTACCAACATCATCAACTCTCGGACGAGGGGTACCTTCGGCCCCAGCATCTGCCAACCAACGAGTTTTTCGATGATCACCTCCTCGTTCAATATTCAGTATGCTAATCCCCATTTTTATTATACGCACCTTTATTTTATCATGGTTATTTTATTTTTTTTTTATAATAATTATTCACTCGCGATGACATGTTCGCGATTTAGTTGTGACGGTATTAAAGAGTAATTACGCTGGACTGTGGCAACCACTTCTGGCCAAGGTGTTATGTCTTTATAGATTTTATACGGTAATTGATTCGTCCGTTGAATGGGACTTATTGGGCATTGGGGCCAGTTTGTTTCATTTGGGACGTGTGGATCAATCGAGATTTTGCGAGAGTGGAACATTTGGGGGAGTTCATTACGGATTTACAGCGGAAATTAGAGAGGTACGGTGGAGAGGTAGGGGACTTTTTTGTAGCTCATTGAATTCTGAATGGAAAAGGTCTTATGATTTTTTTTTCTAAAATCAATACATTTTGGAGCAATCGAGATTTTAAAAAAATGGAAAATTTGGTGGAGTCCTAGAATTTCAGTTGATATTTTTATTAATTACCGATTTAAGTCGACAACCATTGATTTACGGGGAAAACGTTAAGAGACTTTTTTATAGCTAATTGAATTCTGAATAAAAAAGGTCTTATCATGTTTCGTCCTGAAAGCAATAGTTTTTTAGATTAATCGATATTTAGTAATACTTACACAGTTTGTTAGTTCATGTAATAGAATGAATTGTTAATTTGAGTAAACGTGAATTTATCTTTGAAAGTATTACCTTTAGGAGGAAATGTGAGAAGATTTTTTTTATCGGGAATTTCATTGCCTACAGAAACTTATCTCATGTTTTTTAATGTAAATTGATAGTTTCCGAGATAAATCGATGATTAGGGAAATGTTGAATTCGATTCATCTCACTTTATCATTTCGCTGATGATCTTTATGAGTTTTTTATTCCTCTATTAACCACTTGTTGAAATATTTTCTGTGTGGGCTACACTTTGATAGTTGTTTTGATTTCATCCATTACGTCAATCGCATTGAAAGGATAATTACAAAACGTCATTGGAATGCAAAAAACAGAGCGAAACGATAAGGCTAGATGGATCGAAGTTTATAGTTCTGATGAATAATCTAAAAATTGTTGATTTTAGGAGGAAATACCGAGAAATCATTTTTTCCTGTCATTTAATTACTCGCAAAAAATTCAGTCACCGTTTCTACTATAAATTCATAGCATCCGAGATAAATCGGTAATTAAAAACATTAAATTCCATTTATCTCACTTTACCGCTTCCCAAGTGAATTCTATTACTAGTTTATAAAAAATTCCTTACTTAATCTCTTTTTCTATCTTAATCCTTAAAAAATATTCATTTTACAAGTAATATAATTTAATCTTTATGAATGATAATTAATAAAGCATAAACGACTAAAATAAATTTACAATTTTTTAACCAAAATTTCATATTATTATTGTAATATTATTCCTGAATAAAGGGGAATTGGCCATAATCATTTAAATTTCCATAAGTAACTTGACCTAATCCTAATAAAAATGAATTTTTATTAGATTAATTAACAATTCCTCGTCGGAAGACATTCTGTTGTAAATTTTGGAGAGATGAGTCCGGGCAGAAGTGCAGAGATCCTGAAGATAAAATGAATTCCTCAGTTGAGTAATACCTATGAGAAAATCTGTGTAATAATGAATTCCTTCTTATATACTGATGAGAGGAATTTCTCCTGAAAGTCAAAACGACAGAACCTTGTAGTTCTGGACTGTTTAGACAAGCAAATGCTTGAGGCGTCTGATGATTGACATGTGTAAACATTTACTTAGTCACCTTGGTGAGGTTTGTAGATGTATGAAATTCCTCCCACAAGTTATGACTGAAAACTTCATAACGAGACAATTTTTCCATCTCGCTCTATCAAGACCAATGACCTGTGTGCATAGTGCGTCCCTAATCCGTTTTTTAACTCATAAATAACTGGAATCACCTGATGAAAAGATGCCGGCATCAAGCCTCCGGCTAAATCCTCCCCGTCCACCGACATTCCAAATATTCATAACAATAAATAATCATTACCTCAACACTCACGTGTACGTTGGATTAACCCTCCGACGATTATTACACGTCCTGACATTTCCCTCTCGATCTCGCACACTTTACACCCGAACTATTGACATTTTTCGATATTTTTGTATTTATCTTTTTTGTAGGGCTAATTGAGAGCTACAAAAAAGGTTATTACAGGAAATTTGATTGTTTGCGTAGATTTGGAGATAGTGACGTTTTTTCGTTTGTTTGGTGCAATGTTTGAGTAAGTTTCAATTTTTTTTTTCACCTTTTTTTTAGAATACTTCGGGATTGAAGGTAGATATCAAAATTTTTGTAGTTATCTTTTTTGTAGGGTGAATTAAGAGCTACAAAAAAGTTAGAACAAAATTTTCGATAGCTCCCCTGCATTTGTCGATATTTCTCGAAATCTCAGGGAAACAATTCCACTGTTTCGTTATACTCCATTTATTACCAAACATTTCCCTCTTGTATAATAACCATAATTATAACCCGATCATTTACAATTGTAATTATAATATTTACAAATAATCGTAACATGGGTACACCCGCAAATGATTATTACAAGTCTTGTAATTTTCCTCTTGATCTCGTACACTTTACAGTCGAACGATTCTCCGAGGTTTTTTGCGATCGGTTGGAAATTTAAACGGTAGTTTTCAACCGCCTCATACATTTTTTTTTTTTTCGCAAATACCATCAGCTATATTGCTCTCACCTAAAAAAAAGAAGATGCAGTTACTCTGATTTAATTGCCTCACCAGGTTCCCGACGATTGAATAAATTCTCCAACTTCAATCGTGACACCAGTTTAATCCAATCAACCGCCGCCAAATATCGTCCCCAATATATCAGCGTGATATATCGATAGATGAGAATTATCGGTGGACAGGACGTGTCATTTTCACCTGAGTTGTGAGAAATTTTGAATGGCGTTTATGCGAGTAATTAAACTCGTGTTGCAAAGTGCTCGGAAGAAAATCTATTAACATCTAATGACTTGATTACTCAACACATACAGAGGAGATCAGCACTTGCAATCAAATTGAATCCATGGTGAATCTTCTGAGGGTACATCTAATCGTAAAACAACCTGGTCTCATAATCCAGCGTGTAACAAGACAAGAGACAGCATCCTCCGGTGTTTATTTATATCGCGTTTATTCGATTCTAGGTTTTTTTATTTATCACTTTTTTTTTTTTCTGTGTACGTGTCAGTTTCCTCTTTCGGTGTTGTATCAGGTTCATTAAGTCAGGAATGCGAGACAGGGAGAAGAATGGATGAAGTAGTTAGCCCTACGTTTGATAATTACCGGTTTTGTATATATATTATTGGATAGATAACAGTCTAAATGTGCGATAGACTGGGAAATAGGGTTTCTTAATGTTTCCCATATCGAGTTTCATGAGAATTTTTTATTTCTACTTTTGGGGAAAAGCTTGTGACTTTTGGGTTCAGTTTTACAACAGATTTCCCGGGAATATTTAACGGTTTTTAAGACATCTTTACGTTCCGCGGTACATGGGAATCTTTTTTTGTTAGTTATCTGAATAAATCTTGAATATCCCCATGGAATTGAATAATTATATAAATTTTTCGGGTTTTACTTGAGATTTTTTAATAATTGTAATTATTCTGGGGGTTTTATTATTTTTTTAAAATTGTTGTTAAATTTTTTAGAAGTTCTGTTCAATTGCTTTTTTATCGAAATGATAGGGGGCGATATTTATTTATGTTTTGGTCACTTGGTGAAGGATGGAAGGATGTTGGATATGAACTTTTTAAATTATTGAACACTGGAAGCAATTTGTTTATAACACTACATTCATTATTCAGTTGATTTTCATCGTAGAAAAAAAATGATAGAAGATGGAAATAAAATAGACTTTTTATATGTTTATCCCCCGAATTGGTTTGTCGCGTGGTTTTACGGAGAATCAATGAAAATTGTAATTTGTTTGTAATTTGTTTGCAGGTGGTTTGGTTGACCGCATTTATGTGGTTGCGGTTCACAGCTGCCAGTAATATAACGCTTTCAATATTATCCCAAAGGATTGAAGAGCATTCATTGAGGGACCACAATCCTCACAGGCGAGTAAATCAATACCCCATTTTTATTTAATTTAACAAAATCTGATAAACTATCTAGACCAAAGAAATCGTATATTCTATCCTAACAGAAGATTTATGTGTTACACGGGGAATATCTTGGAATCTAACAGAGATAGCGAAATTTCGTAGGAACATTTTTTGCAGCTCTCATTTCACTTTTCAAAAAAGGTTTTATCTAAAATGGCGATATCTCTCTTATTTTTGGAGATATCACTCGCTCCCCGTGATCCAACATATATTTTGAAAAAAATGTTGACGGAATGGAAATTTAGACACGCCGACGATTTTCAACATAATAATATAATTAAAATATAATTATAATATTCAATGATAATTAAAGTATTCAATAAAAATTCCAATAAAAAATCTGGTAAAGATACGTAATTATTATTAAATATTTCTCAGTGCTGTGGAGGGAGAAAAGTTTAATTACCCATAGAGTTTTTTTTAAAAATAGGATATCGTCCCGGGAGAAGCGAAATTCCCCGGGTTTCGGGATGACCTATCGGGAAATTCAGAGTATCCTGAGGAAAGAGGGAGGTGAAGGAGGAAGTCCTGTGGACTGTTGTCCTTCAGTAGTTGAGACCATTTCACCCACAGGAGGAAGGACCCGCAAGGGTGCATATGTCGAACTTTATCGACACCTGGAGCACATACAGACGTTCTTCGAGTCCTCCTGCAGGGCTGATGTCCTCAATAAACCCTGCAGATTCGTTGATAAAAAACTCATGAACCGAACGCGCTGCGTCCAGAAGTTCTCGTATACCTACGCCATCATCGGCAATCCAGACAAATTCCAGCAGGAGGTCAGTCTTTTCGAAATATTTCATTGGATAAATTAAAATGCTCTTTAATTGTCCTTTAATTGTCGTTTAATTGCCATTTTATTGCACTTTAATTGCCCCTTTATCATCCAAAGAATTAACAATCCTGATGGTCTCGGTTTTCGGCGAGTATCGGTGAATTGAGGGCGAATATCAAAATTTTTGTCTCTACCTTTTTTAAAGGGCTAATTAAGAGCTATAAAAAAGGTCCTTACGAAAAATTTGATGGCGCCTCCAGTTCGGAGATATTTGCATAGATATTCAAGGTTTCGAATTTTCAATTTTTTTCAAAAATCAATAGATCTCAGAACCTATTGATTTTAAGAGAAAATACCAAAAAATCATTTATGTTGATAATTTTATAATCTAAAGAAAAGTCCTCTATCGTTTTCACCTAAAATCGATAGTTTAGGGTAAAAGAAAAAGTTAAACTCCGCAGGTCTCTCGGTATTAGTGGGTACTGAATAATAAAATCGTGTTAATTAATTTCCAAAGTAAAATGATTATTTTTTTAGAAAATGGAGAGGCAGGAACATCCTCATCGTCACAAAGACCACCACATTCTGGTTCTGGATCCTGGCTCCCTGTGGAGACTGGATTACATACAAGTGCGAAGTGGTTGCAGTTGTGAAGTTTTTCCCAAGCCGAAGAAAAAGAAAGCAACGGGGATGAAGGCGAAAAAAGGAAAGAGTAAAGAAAGAAAACCACGGGACGGAGATTTCTCGTGAATTCTAGCTAGTTTTTTTTTAAACATAAAAAAAAATGGGATAAATTGTTACCAATGAATATACTAATGAACTACAAGACAAATCATTAGGATATCGATAGTTGGAAATTATTCTATTATTTATTTGCCAATGAGGATGTAATTTTCTGATTGCATACCGTTACGAGTGCTACATGACAGCGGATGAACATTTTCATTTTGTATTTTAAAGTGAAGATATAGAATAGTCAAGATTATTTTAATGCTTAAGGGTATGATTAATTTTCTGTGGCCAGTTTTAACTGTTAACGTTTGTATATTAAATCCATTTATGCATGTAGTTAGTATAGTTCCAGTGATGTAGTCTCGACGAGAAATTACGGTTTACCCTGGGGGTAAATATTCTGAATTCCAGTGGATGAGTTATAAATAATAGTACGAGGTAAAGGGTAACTAGTCGATTTAATTGATGAGTTTTTCTGGAATATCTCGGAATCTGAGGGAGATAGCGAAAATTTCATTTAATATTTTCTTGTAGCTCTCAGTGCAGTTTATAAAAAAGGTCCAACGAGAAATAACGATATTCCTTATAGATTTTGAGATAATCCAAAAATATTGGATTAGGGTACAAGTTATTTTTTACCTCTTCGCTACCGAATTGATATTCGTCTCGCAGGACTGATCAAATTGAATAAATATATCAGCCCACGATACTGTTTCCAGTTCTATTATAAGCCATAACGAAAAATCATTACTTTACTCGAGTTAAACTAGTAATAACGCACTTGTCCATTACTGTAATGTAATTGAAAGTCAATATTTATTTATTAATTCGCTGAAAATATGTTCCCATGCCATGACGCTTTCCCTAGAAGATTGTTCCAAAAAAAAGTCCGATGGGCTTTTCAGATTCTATTCCGCAAAGTAAGTCAATAAATATATTTTCGTATTTTTCGATAATACTCAAAGTTTATTGATCATTACATTAAAAGAATATACACTAAAAACCGAATAATCAGAAGACAATGAACTGAAATTTTATTTTTCGGTTTTTCTCCTCATTTTATTAAGAGTAATAAATAAAAATACAGCGGAACACCCGGAAAATTCGCGTCCAAGAATTTCCATAGAAAAAACAACAACTATTTAATTAATCAATTATCCAAAATAAATCCAGTACAAATAACACAATAAAAATTCAATACATTGAATTTTTCAGTATAAAGTCTTAGACTCAAACACTCTGATTTTTTTCTCCACATTATTATTTATTTCTCACCATAAAATCCAAAAGAGAACTATAAAAAAATCATTAACCACGAAATAATGTTTTTTACAAAAGAATGTTCCAAAATAAAATCAAAAGTCTCCAAAAGTCTCCAAAACTCAAAAAAATCAATAAATAAATTTTCATATTTTTCGATAATACTTCAAGTTTATTAATTACAGCCCAAAGAGCTCAATAATCATGTGTAAAATATAATCTCTGGAATCTGTCCATCTTCAATAGTTGTGCCATTGTTGTCACCAGCAGCGAAGCTGAATTGAAATTTCACTTTACCCTTTCCTGAGTCGCAGTCAACGGTGACACACCTCATGCCCTTGGTGCCATAATGAGAGTCAGGGCCCCTAAAAATAGCTGATGCCGTATAAATAGTATTGGGTATAATTTCTATGGGTTCCTTGAACATCAAACGATACGTGTAACTGGATCCATCGCAGCTGAAATTCGTCGAGTTGGTGGCAATAACTGTTCCTGATGCTGTATGAATGAGTTCAATGAGTACCTCGTACTCAGCTGGTCCATGAACACTCCCATAGACTCCATAACCCACCAGAAAAATTCGTCTGTCTGTGCAGAAACGAATGCGATCACTGGTACCACTGTATCCCCACCTGCTGTCTGTCTGCTGGAATCGGCAAACTGTCAGCTCTTTTCCCATCATTCGACACCTGGGCATCGCCTCGAAGCCAACCGAGGGCTTGGGGTTTACCGTGAAGTACAGGAAGAGGGAGACAACTTCACGATCTGTGAGGAGGCCACACTGGGCTGGACCCATCGCAAATTCCTCGACTGACATCAGAGGAAATCGAACGAGGGACAGAGCTCTTCCCAGGACTGATCTTTGATTCTCAGGTGTCACTGGCAACTGTTGTCTCAAGCACTCCGCCTCGGACCATCTGCACGTAAACGAATTTTATTTTTCAATTGAATTCCATGGGATTGATTGAATGATTCATTGCAGTTTATTAAATTATCGGACAAGTGTAATGTGCGAAGAGGGAATGTTACAAGTTTGTTAAATGTCGATTGATCTCGGTAGTGGTTGCCTGTCCGCGGAAATGTCAGAGGAATTTTTTGTCGGAAATTTAAACCGCTATAAAAATGTTTTTTACGACTTTCGCATCAAATTTATAGTTTTCGGGATAAATACGTAAGTTGAGGGAATGATTCGTGCATCTATTCCACTTTACTGAAATTTACAGCCTCTTGAAATATCAATTGATCGCAGCCATTGATTTTCCGAGGAAAGTTCAAGATATCTTTTCTGTCGGTTATTTAAGCCGCTATAAAAACCTTATTTATGGTTTTCAGTGTGAATTTATAGCTTTCGAGAAAGATATAATTCAGAAAAATGGTGAGAACAGGTTATCACATTTTCGTGGTTTAACAGATTTGTTACATGTCATTTGATCTCAGGGGCTATTGATTTTGGGAGAAAATGTCAGAAGTACTTGTTTGTCGGAAATTTAATCCGCTTTAAAAAATTTCTTTACGGTTTTCAGCGTAAATCAATGGCTTTAGAGTCAAATATATAATTTAAAAAGATGGTGAATTTGAATATTTCACTTTACTGAATTTCACAGCTTCATTAAACGTTGATTCATCTCAGAAACTGTTGATTCTGGGAGGAAATGTCATAAGAACTTGTTTGTCGGAAATTTAATCCGCTTTAAAAAAGGTCCTCACGATTTTCACCGTCAATGAATATTTTTCGAAATAGGTCGATAATTAACAAAAATATTAAATTCCTTAATGTAAAACACTCGAGAGGATCACCGATTAATTTTCATCTCCCACAAATGAATTTCCGGTGATAATTAAAAAACCGGGGAAATAGATAAATAAAAATTACCTGACAACAGCCTGAAAAATTTTGGACTCCCGAACCCTCAGAGTATCTCTCTCGAGGACAACCATAAGAGTATCGATATCGATATCAGCGAAGCCATCAGCATTGAGTGCATCATTGGTAAATTTATCGATGACATCCAGACAGACAGAAGCCAATTGTGGCTCGTCAAATAATCTAGCCTGCGTCAGAAGTAGAAATGCATTATCACTAGTAAGATGACTCCTCAAAAAATCCACACAGTGTTTTTCCAACGGGGAGACAGCATATTTTTTCGCTGTGTAGAGAGTAGTCATGACGGTTTCAGGATCAATTTGTATTTCATCGGTGTACAGAAATAATAGAACAGCGAGGAATGCCGTGGGCTCGACATCGGGCACCTCCACCTCAGCCGAGGCTGTTGCCAGTGTACCATTGAACATAGCATCGAAGACAGCACTACCTGACGCGAGAACTAGCTTGTGAGCTGGAATTCGCTGCTGCTGTGCACCTCTGCCCACCAGAAACCTCACGTTCGAGAGGATCTCGTTGTTGAATAAAAAAGCAAATCTCTCTTTTATCGTTGTCTTGCTCCCCTGCCAGTTGTAGAGTTGGGACGAGGGCCTGTGCTGTCCCTCCCGAGGAGGTGAACGAGATGATCCATCACTCGGTGACTGGTCACCTGGTGGTCTACCTTCCAAGTGCGATGTGCTTGCTGAATTACTAGGGAGGCTGCAATTTTTATCAATTTCTTCATTTACTTAATTGTATATTATTTACATTCAATTATTTTCTAAATACGACTTACATAATAAATAAATTTAGATAATAACGATTATAATTTTTTGTGATGGATAAAATACAGAATAATGGTGTAAATAAATGGACACCAGACTTTATATTTCGAGAGGAACAAATGGATTTGATCAATATCATACGAAAAATTGATAATTAAACGACTTACTGCTCTCGAGAGGATGTCGATGGTTCGTTCGGTCGATTTAAAATCCCTAGGGATTGCTCCTCATCGAGGGAAAATGCCAAGGCTCTTCTTGCATTGGAAAACGTTATATTCCCGATGTTCTGCATATTCTGAGGGGAAGACGTCACATTTCGCTCACCTGGAGCTCCATCCTGAATGTCATTTGACAGGAGTCGGACCTGCTGCAATCTCCCAGAGATGCTCCTCTCTGCATTGTCCTCCGAAGACATTCTGTACTCTAAATGCGTCCAACTTCTCTGAATACATGAAAATAGTATTGATTTCTTCTCCAAGATGATTGAGTCCCCGATTTGCAGTAAGTCTGAAATTTTTTACCTTTTTTCCAGGGTCACTTGTTGTATTTCATGTGGTCATTCTCCGGAATTTTCGTGCCCATATCGCAGATACATGATGTAATGTTTTTGTTTTTTGGTGGTTTTTTGACATAACCTTATGGCATTAGGATCACATCATTGTTTTTGGTGGAATTAGGTCAATAATTCGGGGAGATTTTCGGAGACGACTTCAGCTGTCACTCTGAGGAGGACTTGGGATCATTATGACAGGATCTGATGATGGATGGAGCGAGTCAGACGTTCAGATGGATGGGGACAGATTTTGTGGATCATCAGGCAGCTCAAAGAGGATTGACTAAAGTAGAGGCTCAGTTCTGGGG